TATTATCACTTGAAAATACATTTATGCCGAACAAACGGATGTGTTCTTATCCTGATCCTCATCCTGTTCTCGGTCCCGGTTCTGTGTGCACACATGACACGCGTGTAAACCTTACCTTAGTGCGAGGCAGCTCCAGAACGCCCATTCACGACGCCGGCGGCGCTGGATACGTCTACGCAACGGAAGCGGAGGCCGTGGCCGCCGCTGCCGCGGAGGCGGCGGAGGCGGCGGAGGCGGAAATGCCCGAGGAGAGAGAAACTGCGGCTGAGGCCGACGATGACGGCGCAGCGGATCCGACACAACAGCTGTCGCCGGCGGCGGCGGCGGCGGCGGCGGCGCTGTACAATCGCGTTGATCGCGGCGGTTTCGTCGGCGGCGGCTTTGTCGAGCGCGGACGTGCGGCGGGATATGTTGCGGGTTACGACGACGGCATGTTGTACGGCAGCACGACGGGGTCGCGGGGGTCGCGGTTCCGTTACGTTCCGCCGGCGGAGCTGCGGCTGCGGCGGGACGTGCTTGGGGAGGCAGGGCTGCGGCGGCGGCTCAGCGAAGCGCTGCAGGTGGGGCCATCGGCGCCGTGACCGAGGTGTTAATATGTATGTATGTCGTTACAGGGTGGTATAGCTTCACCAGCGGTCCCCTTTCCCGAGGCAGTTCCCTGCTCTCCCCTGCGAGAGGGGCACCCTAATCCGTTCACCCCATCCGACTTCAGAATATGTATGTATGCATGTATGTATGTATGTATGTATGTATGTATGTATGTATGTATGTATGTATGTATGTATGTATGTATGTATGTATGTATGTATGTATGTATGTATGTATGTATGTATGTATGTATGTATGTATGTATGTATGTATGTATGTATGTATGTATGTATGTATGTATGTATGTATGTATGTATGTATGTATGTATGTATGTATGTATGTATGTATGTATGTATGTATGTATGTATGTATGTATGTATGTATGACGTTGATTACACTGTGGGCTGAAAAGCCTGGGGGGCCCAGGGCCGAAGCACAGCGCGGGGGGCGGGTGCATACGGCTGGTTAGTCTCATGCACTCCGCCCCCGGGTCAGGCCGCACGGGAAACGACGGCCGGCACGCAACAGCGCTTGTTTGGCGCTCCAACTAGACGGGATCTATGCCCGTTGGTCTCCTAACATAAACGAAGTCGCAACTGGGGGGCTCTTCCTGCCGACCGAACGAACCGAGCATCTCAGAGAGCTCGCAACCAGGACCTGGGCGACCGGGAGCCCGACGAGTCATCCCGGGCTGGGGAGGTCACCAAGCTCAAAAATCCTCATGCAAAAAAAGAGCGCAAAGAGCTCACACCACAAGACGCCAAACAGCCTCCTGAGACTACTACCCTCCTCCGCCTCTCCCTCCCTGGGCTAGTCCAGGGGAGATAGCCCCCGTCGGGGGGGTAACACCGCACAAGTCCGCGCCCTTCCACAGCACTGGGTCTAACTTGAAAAGTACTCAAACGGGAAGACCCTGCGGCAACGCAGGGCGATCAAGCCTCCGGAAACCACAGGGGGGGAGGGTAGCCAGCTCGGCGCCCTCCCAATACCGCTCTACCAAGACGGCTGGTTCCCAAGATCCTATCTCACCTA